CAAGAGCTATGGGTAATTTAAGAAATGTTCGGGAATGTTCGGGGAGCCATGTCACCCCATAGCTCTTTGTTGTCTCCACCACTTTCTGAAACCAATAGTCCGTTAGAACCCTATCGGAATAACGTATCCAATTCATTATCCCATTAGAGTTTCTGACTACGTTTCAGGGGGCTAAGTGTAATTATCGATACCACAGGGACATTACAGTTATTTAAGCATACCTCAGGGGTGTGGGTGTAATTTACCCTATTATTTAATAAGAATTGGTTTAAACAAGTGTCTTCATTTGTATGTAATATGAACAGATGATAGAACAAATCAAGTAGTAACACCCACAAAACCAAGATCATAATTAAATGCAAAATTCAAAAAAAGTCACAAGTAAGAAACAAAAATGGAGGTTTTCGCTATTAAAGAAAAATAAGTTCAAGTAAGATCGTCATCCTCTAGCTCTTTGGCCTTCAACGCTTCCTTTACTCTCAATAGAAGTGACGTCTTCCAAGCATCCTATCGAATAAGTAGTTATTAATAAATTTAGATACGTCACTGATTAAATTAAATAACCGAGCAAAGCGAAAATGACATGATATTTAAATTCGAACAAAGCCATGCCAGTTTACCCTAATAAAATTAATGCAACTTATGTAGTTGGGGGAGCAACCTTTCCTATATTTAATTTCTCGTTCAGCAAAGCTAAGTGTTGTCGGATCATTTGTATAATAAAGCATCGAAGGTCAGAATCGACTTTTAAAGACATTTTAGAATGGGACGCAATTCACTTACCAGGTGTGTCATGCTATCAAATTCCTTGACTGCATCAGTGAACTTGGCCACATCTTCCTCATCGATGGCAGTAGCTAAATCCTGTGGTCAAGAGATAAAACGGGAAATAAATCAAATTGATCGAATGAATTCATGATATTATTTTTAAGGTTTTGATGTTGAGATAACACGAAAATTTCATGATACAATTTTAGAAGATATGAACAATAATCCATTTGCCAGAACTATATGTACACAATCTGTGTGCTAGAACCAGAGGTTTACTGAAATAAGAAAGAGAAAACAAACTAAACTATTGAGGAAGGTGACATACCGCTAGCAATTTGTATTCACGCGTTCCAGAAAATGTTGGATCCAAATCCTAGAAATGAAAAAAAAAAAAGATCGTTAGAGCGTATATAAAACAAAGTGTAAGTGGAAGATAGAGACAAAAACAATAGAAGTACCTGGTATCGCTCTAATGCGTTGCTGATTGCAACAACATCATTCTTGCAGAGCTGACAAATACCAGCATTAAGAAGGTGCCCTTTTACTCCATACTTCAGCAAGCTGTTATTGAGCGACTGACGTGCTATTTCTTCATAAATCTCGATGGCTTTTTGGTATCTGCAAAAAACGTTACCCAGTAATTATTTCAGCCCAGAATTCAGTTTTTATCCAACATAAAAGCAAGGATGTACTGACTTCTAAATGAATAAAAATCTCGGACTTGCAAACATTCTATCATGTCTTTTGGTGTTCTTTTACTAGACTTGCCGAAACATACAAAAGTTTAAACGAGCATAAGAAATTTGAAGGACAGAAAAATAGAGCAACTAATGATTCTAGAATAAAAAAACATCAAAGAGCCCATGATCTGGCATAATTATGAGAGAATCAGACAAACTTAACTGTTCTAATTGAGCTGCATATTGCGCAATTTTCTGATTGCACTGATTTGCAGATGTTGTTGCATCTTCACTTTGGAAAAGATCGGCAGCTTTGTCGAAGTAAACAATAGCTTGCTCCAAGTTTTCTTCTTGCTCATACAACTCCGCTATTTCCTGCGGATGTGAGAAATCTCGCATCACTGTCTCACAGTATACTTATCAGATACCCTTCGACATTCGAGAGTTACCAACATGATCACTAACATGATAGTCAACGCCACTATTCATGTAACAATTTGTTGCATAATAAGGCGGAGAAATCAGGCGAATGGACCAAGAATCTGGTTGACAATACGAAATTTTTCGAGTCTCAGCCTACGAAATTCCTAAGGGTGCCTACTTAATGTTTTACCTTGTAATATCTAGCAGACATATTAAGCCTTCCAATTTCCATAAATAAATTGACAGATTCCTCCAGGCATGAAATTGACTCTGCAAGGCATCCAATTCCAACGGTAATTAATTGCATAATCATAACTTGTAGCTTCAAATTGAGAAAAACAATACAAAAGGCCAGACCATCATACAAAACAAATATGAAGTGATTCATAAAACTGAAAATTCAAACCTCACAAATAAGTAGAGTTACGAAGAAACCAACAAGCTAAAAGTTAAGCCGCGACAATGCAACAATCTTGCTTATTTACTCAAACAAATAACTAATATTATTAATTCTTATTAGACATTTCCATATTTACGTACAAAATACTCCACAAGAAACATATAATAGATACCAATAACAAAAGACATCCAAGGTTAGAAAGGCGGGATTTACAGCAAAGACACCTTTTGTGTTCGACTTTTTGTAGCAATGAGCAGCATCGGCATATGCATTAGCAGCTTCATGCTTGCTATCTAACTGCAAAAAATAAATGTGGAGAGACATAAGACTCGTAAAAATCACTAACGGGGAAGGGTAACAAATCGACGATGACCTTGCAGCTGCAGCCGAACACAAAACGAACCACAGACTTACCTTCAAGTGACAATTGGCCAACTTAACATACGCTGCTCCAGCCTGATCCCCTGGTATGAAATCCATTTAATTTGCTAAAATTACAACATAATAATTACAAAATTTTCAATCTTATAGTTATCAAAACTTCCGAAATTGCAAATGCGATGCACAATCCTTCAATCTGAAGACATCTCAAATGAAATGTATTCTTCCCAAAATTTTGTTGGTGCAAATTGAAGATGAGAAAATCCAGTTTCATACAATAGACGATAAATCATCATTCGCAATCCTCCAATTAAATTAACCCGAAAAAGGCTAGAAATTAACATCAAACACGCAGAAAAGGAAACGAAAACAATGAAATCAGTTGAACATAGCGAGAGAATGAACATGAATCAGAAAAATAATGAATTAATAATACATGATTTGGCGAGTTTGAACGCATTGGCGGCCTTATCGAACAAATCGGCAGCGTCTTCGAATTTGGAACCGAATATTCCCCAGCCGCCGAGCTTCTTCTCGGCTCTGCTCTCGAAATCCTCGCCCCTTGCTAAATGATCGCCCATTGTTTTTTTTTCTTTTCTTCTTCACGCAAAAGTTGATGGTTCTGTTTCGCTGCTTTTTTTTTTGAAGGAATGAAAGAAAAAGGATGAAAGTGAAATTACTAATATTTTTGGGGTGGAAAATGGAAATATAGGAAAGAGACCCGTTCAGTTTTTGCAATTGCCCGTAATCTTTTTTGGTTGACTTTTTGACCAGAGAAAACGTGTTTGATATTTATTTGGCTTGAGATCGCGTTTTGTTTTCTAATTAGTGACGGTGGCCAATTGGACCTCAAAAGGTTTGGGTCCCACTAGACCGCTTATTTAGGTCAAATAAAATAATAAAAAATTATACAGCAGAACCTCGATAAATTAATAACTTCGATGAAATAATAGTTTCTTTCGGTCCTGACTCGGTGAAAATGTGTTAAATTATTAACTCGATAATTTAATAATTTAGTAATCTAATAGAATTCCCATGATCCCAATTGTTTTAATTTATAGAGTTTTAACTGTATATTCATAATAAAAAAATAAAATAAAAGAATATAAAATATATATTCTAAAATGAAAATCCAAATCTCGTACGTAAAAACACATAAGAGTTTTGATCGAATTAATTTAAATTATATTAAATTTAATTAATTCCATATTAATTAATTAATTAGTTAGTTAGTACCGAATAACATCCTTCATTTAACATTAGGTAACAGAGGGCCCGAGT